TAAAATGAAAAGACTCATCATTCCACAAAAGCTCTGAGACAGCCACAGTCTCAAAACTCACATCCACAGAAAAGCTATATTTTGACAGTCACTGATGGCAGGAGCAAAGATGAAACGTCCTTATTTCCCAGACAAACAAAATATGTTTTTTTATTTTTAAGTTCACAATGTATTTATTTCTCCCTTCTCCCTTCCTAACCTCCTCCACCAAGCTAAGCTGTGTCATTAGGCAAAAAGAAAAGATTCACACCAGAGAAGAGTTTCAGTTGCGAAAGAATTTTGATATAGTGATAGTCCTTTTGGTAAAAATAGAAACCATGTCACTTGGGAAGTGAAATAGCTACTGAGAAAAAGAGAGAGCTAAAAAATACCCAAAATGCTATGAACCCAAGGTGCTGGGCAGTGAGCAAGTCAGTGGTACAAGTTTTAGCCCCGGATAACGGTTTGAATTGCCTGCAAAAGTTCTGGAATACTTCTTACCCCAGACACGTATTTGGGCATACAGTTATTTACAACATCTTGTTTTTATTTGTGCACCTATTTCTTAGTCAAATTAAGAAGCAATGCAGGTCTTTTAAACATCACATAACTACGCATGAAGCTTGACAGGGCTTGGTATCACTGCAGATCTGATGCCAGCTTTAGCGACTGTGCCTGGTCAAGGCACTCCCCTCCTCGGGGCCTCAGCTGCTCCATCCCCAATGGATGAACAGAAAGTGCTTCTTCTCGAGGACATTGAACCAACCTCGTGTAAAAATGAACCGACCTGGAGAGAGCTCTCCTGCCGGATCCTGATGCAGGCTTTACAACTCTGATAGAAGATCACTTCTTCAGAATAAAGATCACACTTTCATATTGTTTTCTCCCCCAAAAGGTTGAGCCAATTATTTAGGTCCTGAATTTCAACAGCGTTAACCACGTTCTCCCAGCTCCCGCGAGGTGGGCCTCTGGGGTGCCCGGTGGAGCGGTTCTCGGACCGGGAGGAGCATCCCGGCAGGAGAGGGCTGCAGAAAGGCAGCTTGAGAACTGCTGGGCTAAGCCGTCTCTGTACAACTATCATCACAGCATCAAATATGCAACCTTTAGTAAAAAGGGGGAACTGTGATTCTTCTTTCAGGTAGGTTCAAACACACTTATACTCTGTCACCTATGCAACGAATTACCAAAAGGCCTAGCACCCCTCAAAAAAGAAGAAAAAAATTAAAGCAGAGTTTTAAAAGGCTTCCCAGAGTAATATTAAATTCATTCATGCTGCGTATTTTTAACCAAACTACCATACAGACTAGATGGCTTAATTACCACCCAAATGAATACACAAGTCCATGGGGGACAGAGAAAGTTGACAGAAGACCTGTACGCTTCTCGTTTCCCAACTATTGTACATTTTCCATCGGAACCGTGTTAACGTAAGCTCTCTTTCAAATACATGCGTGTATCCCAAGGAGACTGGAGACAGTGGAGAGCCCACTACAGATTCACTCATGTCCTCACAGATATACCAAGCGGTAGGCTCAGAGCCAGGAGGAGACAGAAAAGCCTCCATCCTCACTCTGGTGAATTCCCAGATCCGTCTGTGTACTAACTCTCGTGCCACTGAGTAAACTGTGAATGTCTTAAAACCTTAAGGGGCTGGGGCGGGGTGGGAGAAAAAGTTCGAGCAGAATTTTATTCTAGCATGGTCTTGACACAAGACAAAAGTACCATGCTGAGCTGAACTAACTGAAAACTTTTTTTTTAAATTACAAGCATAAATAGTTTAGCTGTCTTTTCGGTGAGTTCAACAGAATGCACACTGAGAATGTTTACTTGAGATTTCATACAATTCCATTTGTATATAGCTTTTACATCTGTTGCTAATGATATCAAATTATTGATTGTTCACTTTCTTACATTTATTTAAACATTAACTATATACTCTGCAACCTGATGCTTTTCATTTTTTTCCAGAGAACTTTATTTCTGCATGGCTTCAGTTGTAATTACTTTGATCTTCTAGAGTATATAATTATTTTACTGTTTATTTATTTCGATGAGAAAGGAAAAAAGTTTGACCTAGGAGATCTATATGTGGCAATTTGTAACAGAATCACATAGCTTATGTTTAGGAAATCATGGTTTTGATTAAGAAGCAACCATTTAGTTCCCACTGTTTTATTAAAACAGACATTAGCAGATAATAGGAAACACATTTAACACTGTGGGCTGCATTTAGTTTGCAACGTCAATAAAGCTGTTTTGAAGCTCCTTCCTATTTTGCATTTACCACAGCTCATGTGAATTGTTTTTTGCTTTTACTTTCTAATAACCAGCTCTAGACTTAAATATGAGCATGAGCACAGGTGCTGGTCCCAAAGACTCCAAATTACAGTTCTACCCAATCTATCCAGATTACGATCCCCAAAATGAACTGCTGCACCATCCAGCCACCTTTATGAAAAACATAAAGACTTACTTTTCATTACAGGGATATGTGACGACAGAAGCGTAGGACTCAGCTCACTAATACTGCGTATTAAATGAGCTGTCCTGCAGCAATACTTGGCTATGGAACAGAAACAAAACAACATGAAAACGGAGGTGCTGAGAAATGAAAACCACCCAAAAAAGTGCAGAGGGCTTCCTGTTGCAGGGGGTTTAGATTACTGCCCTGAAGTCCCACGGCTGTTTATTCTCTATGCACCAATGTACCTGCCATAGCTTCTTTGTTTTCTCTCCCACTCATATGGTTGATGAATCAACACTACTTGAACTGCTTTATAGCAGCTTGTGTTTACTTCACACATACCTTAACCTTCCTTTTTCTCCTCCTACTAACACACACATACACTTCCAAACAGCAACGACTGGCTGAGTCTCTTTGAACAGCACATATACAGAGTTATCTGGCAAACTCTTCAGGTTTGGATCCTTGACCTCTTGATTGAGGTCTCATTCTGCTTTTACCGCACTTAACAATTTAACTGTGCACTTACTAAGTAAAAAAAAAGTAAGAGCTTAAAGAATTCAATGCTCTAAGAACGGAAGGAAGTGGAAGGCAGCAGCGTGCTAGAACACTCAGCAGCTGTAGTGGCATCTCCACGGTTAAGAACACTACAGCTAAGGGCTTCCAGTGCCTCTGCAACTGGCATTACACCCCTGCCCCGTTTGGAGGAGGAAAAAAAAAGAAAAAAAGTGTCTCTCTTCTCCTAGAATGGCAAGTAAAAGCGAACGGCGATGACCTTGAAGTGGTTTGATTCTTTTGATTGTTTTTTAACCAAGAGGATATGTTAGCACACTTTGAATAAAATTCTTTGAATAAGAGACACCATTTAGAGAAAAGGAACACTTTTGAGTCGCACAATGGCAATTTAAAGAGAGAAGAAACTATCCACAAAGGTACCTTGGCACAAAGGTAATTGTGAACTAGACTGTCCAATCAACATTTTGACTTCAAGCCTAAATAATCCTAATGGGTGAAAAGCAACACCTCGGCTTCCTCATATACGCTATTACCTCACTTCTGCCTGAACAACCCTCCTTCTAGCCACAAACAATTTCAGCATAAAACGTTCTCATTTTCGTAGTGAGAGCCCAATCGCTGCCCAGCGCAGGCCTGAGAGTGGCACAGGGACGCGCCACCCCTGCGGGCAGCCACTCGAAGTTCCCACCAGCCAGAGACGCAGCAGAGGACAACCAGATGCCTCAGGACTCGTTCTCACATTTTAGGCAACTGTGTTCCACGTGTTCCTCCCTCAAGAAGCAGGCTCTTTATGATACTATCATGCAGACTGCTAGCCTGTCCTATGGAAACTCAACAAGCAACCTTTCCTGTTTCACATATCCCAGCTTCTTTAAGAGAGAAAGACTGCAGACTCTTTTTGAAAGACACTAATCTTCCCGTGACTAAACATACAATGGCCCCTCAAGAAGGACAGGACATTGTCATATCTCTGCTTAATGCTTGTGAATCCTAGTATGATTTTCCCAGCCACTGAAAGGATCACAGGCAGAAAGGACAAAAACAGCTAATGCCTCTTTTAGACAAGGCATTGTCTAAAAGCTTGTGGTGTAGCTTGTGGTGTAACAGCAAGGTAGACTATGAAAAAAAGCCTGTCGCATGGTAAAGCTAATTTCCAAGGACGATGGGCATTTGGGGAGAGGAAAGGAGTGCACAGAGCAGCCACATGGCACTGTGGAACTCACCAGAGAAAAGCTGGACTATGCCAAAACTTCTGCTCAAAGCATGTGTGTTTTCAAACAAAAACCTATCAAAATAATGGTCCAGTATACACTCAAGTCCCTTTCCAAAGAAAAAGATGAATAAAAGAACAAACTACACATGACGGATGCTTGTCACATCACTTCATGCCCTACTGGAAGGCGGTCAGACATTTCAGTGGCGAGAGCAGGATGAAGAACTTGCACAGAATCATTTTACTGCCTCGGGCATTCACTGCTAACCAACTAACACAACCCCATTGTAGAAATAATATAAACAATGGGCTATTTTCATCTTAACCCTCAGTGGGTGCAGCAACATGTATTTAGCAACTTCTCCTAATGACCAGATAGTAAGTGCTCCGCCGGCATGCGGACGCCACATGACAGAACATGGCAGGGATGCCATGACACTTCGCAGGATTTCCAACAGAGTGAGGGTGCACATAATTTTGGAAGAGGTTTTTTTAGCTTTCATGAATAAAATACAACTAAGGTAACTTACATAGCAATTTAAGTCCTGAGCTACTATATTTTTCCAAAATGTTTTAGCTTAATTCAAAACACAGTTCATCTTTCAGCACAACTAAATGGGATATTACCGGCATGTTTTAAGTGGCCTGTGTTTTCACATGAGCCTTGACTATAAAGTATCAAATTTAATTTCGTATGTGCTATGACTGTGCCCTCTTTGCAGACACATTCACTAATATCATTAAAGCTTATTAGCACTTAAAGCAAATGATCTCAAACTGTCAGCAGAAGTTCAAGAACTTGGAAAGTAACAAAAAAGATCAATTTACCTTTAATCTTCTTGTACTTTTTGTACCATCTCCCAAACTCCTGGCACTTGGTTGCTGACACATTGGCATAGTATGTGCTATTTACAATGGATGAAATCATACTCTAGAAATAAAGAAAGAAATACAAAAGTGTTTTAAAATAACTTGCACAATTAGAAATCTTCCAGGGAAAGTGAACAACATGCAAGCGCACACTGATCATCCATTTGTGACTTTAGAACCAAAAGCAGTGTCTGATGAGTACACAAAATGGGTTTTACTCTCCATTTTATACCCCCGGACATAATTACTCTGGTTCACTAATAAAGCAAAGAAGATGCAGTATGAACCTAGACTGAGGCCTACAGCTCAGGCTGGGTTTTTCTTCCACTCTAATTTGTACTTGTGATATCACAAAACCTTGACTTCCATTGCCTAACAATAGGCAGTGTCGTGCTGGGGAACACATGCTCACAGCACCGGGTGAGAACAAGCGTGATTTAGGGACCAGAGCCTAAAGGTAAGATTAGATGCTTCAGCATGCATAATCCAAATAATGCTTTTCAGATGTCTCTGTTCTGCTTCCAAATGCAGCAAGGCCGCACAGCCAAGAACGGGAGAACATCCGTGCTACTCGCTGCAGAACAACAGTTAGGCAAATGAGTTAAATTAATATAATTTATAGAAACGTGTGATTAGCCCTTGTGTGAAAAATCACCCAAAAGAGAAATTAACAGTGCTATTCAGAGTGAAGGGGACTACACATGCTACAATATAGAACAACCAAAAAACCGCGACACAGCTCAACAAAGCTGAAATTTCACTTGCTTAACTACCCACCCTCTCTGCGGTTTCCCTGTGAGCAACTCTTGTATAGCCAAAGGGAAGCAGAGAGGAGGAGAGCTACTTTGCAGCACCTGATACCATAAAAATATTACTTTATATCTGGGATGCTTCTGCCCACAGAGTGGGAAAGAGTCTGGTTACTGTTTGTTTTTCCTTTCGTTTTTTTTCCTCCCTTCATCCATGCTATAGAGACAAGGATCTTTTTAACAACAGTTTGCTTTCCTTTCCCCCGCTTAGCTCTTCCAGGGCCAAATCACTGCCAGCATGCGCACAAATTCAAGCACAGAAATACAGTCTAATACCATGAAGACATGGGAGCCGCTGCACCTTCGCTAGAAATTACATCTTTCTTACATCCTCCTTCCTCACTTACTGAGTCAAAGCTCAGAAAACACAGTGGGGCATCGCAAGACCTTTCTGCACAGCGGCCGAGACGTGAGAACCAGCGCGACCTCCTGCCTGGAGCAGGCCATTTACTGCAGGTTCAAGCTCTGGCCCGCAGGCTTCTTCTGCAGGCTCTTGTGCAAAATGGGATCTCAGCCATTTCTGTAAAGCTGCAAAGCTTACACGTTGGCACTCAATTTTAACAATGCTTTAAAAACAAAAACATCCCCTCTCTCTTCCAGATTTATCCAGCCTTCTACCCGGAGCACTGCAATATCACAGGACTCCAGCTGTTCCCGAACTCATGAGCTTTGGGGACTTGAAAAAAAAAAAAAAAAAGTGAGCAAAACTGACTTTAGAGAGACTTCTCACAACAACTGCATGGCACAGATTAGTTTCAAACATAATTTCACTTTCAGTAAAGAGGTTCTTCTGTCTTTTCACTTTAACTGTTCTACCTGAACGCTGCTATGGTGCACTGCAGTAGATTCTGAAAGCTATGAAGTAAGAGCCTTTCTAAGGGCTACTTTAATTTCTAAAACTGAGATTCAATTTTCTAATTAAAATCAATATTTTGAGACATAAAACTAGCATTGTGGTAGTCAGCAACAATTCCTTCCCCATAAATCCTCCCCTGCTCTAAGGCCCTTTACCAAGCAAGGGTATTCTGAAAGCACCACAGCGACAGCCTCTGCTAAAGAAAGATTTTGAACAAAGTTGAGCTGAGATAACTTGTGTTTTCTAGCATCATTTTAGTTAAATTTCCTCCACTTAGGGAGGGCAGGAAAATTGTTTAGCCTTGTCTATACAACAATTTCATTTTTCCATTATTTTTTCCCAAATCCTCTAGCTCTGCGATAAATTGGCATTAGTGAAATTGGGGGCCTATTAAATATCACAGACTAAATTAACCTATTAACCTTCACCTGTGAAAGCACAGTTTAAACTAAATAGCAAAGAGTAAATCTACTGCTGGTGGAAAAATCCTAGGACAGATTCTCTTGAGTCTGCTTGACAACAGATAGAGCGGGGGAAAAATCTCTAACCACCTTCAAACTACAAAGAAAAATATGCCTCCCTATGAAATTGAAAGGAATCCTAGGGGTATTTCTGTCAGGAGTCTTGATAAGTCTCCAGAAAGGAAATGTCCCTTCAGAAGGGACTGGCAACACTGAGAAGTTGTAAATTTCTAAATAAGGTATATTTTTCCCAGGAAAACATGTAAGGAAGGAATAGGTTATACCAAGCGGCAGATGCATTTGCTGTGCTTGTGGCCGTGACAGCCGCATGGATGAAAGCTGCTTAGACCAGGCCCTGAGGAGCCCCACACAAAGAAAACCCAGAGCAGTAAGTTCAAGGAGAAAAATACAGGGCACGCTCTTACCCCAAGAAATCTTGCTCCAACAAGGAGACAAAGCACATGGGCAATGTTGAGATGAGTTATACAACACACAGGAAAGACAGAGGTCTCTATGCAAAGATGAAAATGCTGAAATAATTGGATTTCCTTCCACCACGCACACTCCCCCTATTCACCACCCACCCCCAGCTTGGTTAACTGGGATTTATTTGTTTGAACAGCAGCCTTACGCTAAGGGAAGCTAAGCTGCAGCCACATAATACACCAGGTAGAAAAAAACAGAACAATTTTAAATCAAAGTGAATGATTACATTTCCCATTAGCGGCAATCAGGATGCCCATCTGGGCTGCACGGAGAGCGCCGGCACCGAGAGCAGGAGCTGGAGCAGGGGCGCTGGCAGGAGCGAGAGCTCCCTGCGCTGCCCCTCTCCACTTCTGTACTTGATGCACTGCGAACACATTAATAAACAGCAGCATTTACTCTGCAGTTCAACTCCTAAGAGACCACTCTGTAATTTGCTGCTGTCAATAATATATTAACCACAAGGGGGTTGTAATGACATTTCACATTTGGCACGATATTTTTTTTAAAACTGATTTGGGAGAAGGAATTGTATTAGAGGCATATTCAGATGATGGTAATAGACAGCTCCTATACAACCTTCCATTGTATCTTTTGTATTTTGTAAGCCAAACCAAAAGCAACTGAAACTTTTTACAGCAATAATAATAACGACGACGACAACAACAACAGAAGGTGCGTTCTTACAGTCCTGGTTCAGGGGTTAGTCACTAGTCAGCAAAAGTCACTTGTACTTATGCTTAAAGGTAAGCACATGCAATCTTCTACAGAAGGATTTCCCTTTAGCTTCACTCACTAAATAACTACTAGGGTAAGGATTCCTGTTCCTATAGACCTGCCATCAGCAATCTTGCTATTACAGTTCAGACTGAGGTTAAGGAAGGGTAAATCCAGTGCTGCATTTCCACCTGGTAGCTTTGGAGCTGCAGGGGGGAAGGGGAAGGCATAGACAACAAATGAACATCTGCATATGAAATGATTCATAGCTTAGGTACACTGGATATTGTAGAAGACTGGACAGAGATAGCCACATGCTGCAATCATCATTAGCTGACCAGATTCCCCAGATAATTCTGTTTACAGAAATTATGCTTAAACTGTGTGAAAAGAAAAATACTTTCTTGTTTCACACACCTATGTTCTGTGTGTCTCTAAAGTCACCAGTATTCCTTCAGTAAATAAGGCAAGCAAATAAGGCTTTTCCTTACATCGCCTTTGCACTCCTATTAGTTCTGCAGACCCAACACGATTAAGGAAGAGGAGGAACATTTTCCGCTGGAAAGTGATTCCTACCAATGGCGAAGACCTAAATTCTGATCTGCATCACACCTCTGTAGCCCTGTGCCTTCCCTGGAGTTGCAATCCTAAAACAGCATGACAAATTTGTCCTGGTTACACCTAGACAAGTTTCTCTCGTTCACAGTCTTTGGATCACGCACTGCAATGCAAGACAGGCAGCAGCAACAGGAGAACAAATTTTGAATATGGGCCAGGAAATAGAATGGATTTATAGCAAGTAAGGGTTACTGAGATTTGGGCTTTTTAAAGACAGAATAGACAGATTAACCTAAGATTTTACCAGCATTTTGGAAGGTAACAGATTTCCTGCTCCTAGCAAAGTTACTGGGTCCAGGTGCTGAAGTGTTTGGGTTTTGAGAGAGGCAAAGAGGCCCCAGTCATAAAAATTTTATGAATCTCTTGTTATGAGAATCTGAAGTACAAATAGAGCTCATGATATCAGGAGGAACCTGTTTGTGTCTTAGACACGACATCACTGCCATTTATAAAGCAGTCATGAAGAATGAGATTGTGAGTTTTTGTTCTTTTTTAAACATAATTATATATACATTTTTGTCACTTTTCCCTTGAAATTGGGGCATCACTGTTGCAAATGCATACATTTGATCACAGTTGGAGACTGATGAGAGCTACCCATGGGTTAGTGGGGGAGGCAGGCCTCTGCTGGTGGGAGGAAGCCACCGAAATTTTGCATTTTAGGATCTTCAGTGCTATTGCAAAAGGTATAGATGAAGATTTTATATCCCTCTGACCAGCAGGACAAAAATCAACCAATTCATTCATAATTTTCAACTGGCAATCCACAAATAAAACACAGTACAAAGACGCACTTTTTCTCATTAATTAGCATTTCTCCTTTATAAAGAAAACAAGAAATGGATTCAGTGTTTCTGGAATTGTTTAGACTAAGCACTTTACAAGTTCCAAAGTTCATATTTGTTCAATAAATCTGGCCTTCCCTAAGCCTGGCAAAAACACTGACCTGGGAGAGAGGGCATTCTTTGGCTAGTGTGCTCTGATTCATCTCTTTGAGCAGTTCCTTTAAGGCATTGCGAACTGTGGCATGGTTCCACTGCTCTGCTGGCAAGTCTTCCAACTTTGAACAACTGTTAAAACAGAAAGCAAAAAGCAGACAGAAACATCACCTGCGCAGACACTTACTGTTTGTGTACAAGAGCCCAAGACCTTTGAGCAACCAACATCACTCTAGAGTTCCCTGCTCAGCCAGTCCTTCAAGGTGTGCCTCTCCTCTTCCCCCTCCCCACCAGGCCTGACTCCCAGGAGACAAGTAGTTCAACCAAAAGAATGATAGTACATGCCAGGAATAGCAGCTAATCCTATTAATGATGTTATATATGTGCATAACCATTTCCTCTGGGGCCTGGTAAAGAGCAAAGAAGCTCTGCGTAAAGCAGGCCACAGAAATGGCTGGAGAAAGACAACCTCTCCCAACAGAGAAAGATAATTGGGCTGGTATAGAAAAATAAATGTATACGCTGCATTGCCATCAACAAAATCACTAAACAGTAAGGGCCCTCATTGTGTGGAGGCCAGGCTTTGAGCAGTAAGTCTGAAAAATTAATTTGATTTTATAGAGGTTCTTACACTGCCGTCACCACTGAAGTATCTGAGAGCCTTTCAGAAATGCATTAAGCCATATGCCCAACATCTGTCCCACGCAGTTCATTTTCACTTTCATTCTACAAAAACTGCACAGGCAGTGAAGCCTTCCTCTTCATGTGACACGTGCGGCCTTTAGCTTAACAAGCTCATGGTCTTTGTCTACATACTACCTGGGGACAGACCCAAGAAGCACACCAAATGGGTGGGGTAAGCTTGTCACTGTCATTCACGCTAGAGAGACTTAATGCACACTCTCCTATCATCCTCTGAGGTAGCTCTGCTTTCCGCCTATGCAGGCTTTACCCTCCGAGTTGAAAGTTCAGCTGTGTTTGAGGAGTTCAAGTAGTCAATGACCATCTTTATCTCAAAGTTTCAGGCTTTTATTTACACTGGTGTCCAGTACTTTGAAGATAAAGAATGAGACCTTGATCTTGGGCTGATACCCTCTAGTAATACAGAAGTGACAATAGGGCTGGATGGACTCCTGGTAGCTCATGCGTCTGATGACATGCGTTACTGTACTCCAGCTTTGCAGAGGCTACAAGCTCTAGAAGCTCACACGCATGCTGCAATGGTATACTCTTAACTGAGAGATGATAACAGCACATAAAACCAAGAACTGGCCTGTTGGCAGAAGCTGGAAACCCCGAACACTATCAGAGATGACAGGAAAGATATGTTGCTGTTTGGGAGATTAGCATCCGTGAGGCACCAACTACTTCTAAACTGACCTGGACAGTTGGTGAGTACCTGCCACCAAAGGACACTGACACTCTTCCAAATAGACCCCTGTCTTGTTCATGCTGAGCTTCAGGAAACCATGGGCAAATTATTGTAGGTTGTCTGTTATTTTTGCCTCCCTCCTCTGACGCGTCCTGGGCATAGGACTACAGCAGACTATGCAATGTGTGCTTACCAGCACACCTAGGGAACGCCATGGGCTCCCAGCAGCTGCCCACTGCTCCCTACACACAGACTAGTAACTATCTCAGACCTCTTTTAAAGACCAATAAAGAGAAAGGACAAAAAAAGGTGCACAGAGGGGGGAATAGGGCAGCTTGGTGTAAAAGTATCAGGAGCTTTTGCTTTGCTGATCAGAATTAGCATTCAGGGAAGGAAAATATTTTCAAGAGGCCAAATGGAGCTGCAATAAAAGATCCCTGCCTAATTTTCTCGCCTTTCCGCTGGAAAGACCACTGGAGACAAAAGGAAAGTCAACAAACTCCCCTTCTCCCCCATTGCAGCAACCAGCAGCAAAACACAAGGATTCTCACAATGCAACCCCTGGAAAAAGGCAAGATGTTTCTTTTTCAGATACAGCAAGGCCTGGAAGACCTATTCAATTAAGGACTGTGGAAAGGTCTGCTTTTAAAGGCCTCAGATCTTTACTCGATTGTTTGAGTTCCTGCCCCTCTCCTATCTGCTACCATCTTGGTATTTCCGAAAACATATAAAATCAGTTGGACCATGCACCAAAAAGCTGCCAGGTGACCAACCATTCTCTTCATTTTTCTTTTCATTTCATCAAAAGCCCAGAAATTAATGAAGACAGGATGTGCTAATCTCTGTAGTAACACTGTGATCGACAGAGCAGCTCAGAGAATAGAGAAGGACAGATGTTCAGAAACACCCACCTTTGCAATTGGATTTTCAATGTCACAACATGATAGACATCCTGTAGCATGTCGGCTACTGTCGCATCTGGTGCATCAGTCACATAACTGAGAGGGAGGGGATTCCACCTCCCAAGCTTGATTATTCCTGAAGAGAAAACACAAAAAAAACCACTTTATATTTTATCTGCTGTTTACTAAACCCTTTGCTAAGTTTGTCTGGTCAGGGCATTCAAGACCTATCTTGAGATTTATTGCAATCTTGCTGGAAAAGATGTTCAGGCTGATTCCTGAAGCAAAGGATGGAGAAGAGTAAGAACAGATTTTCAATTCCTAGCAGAGTGCTGCTGACATGTTCCTGGCTCTTAAATTATTTGAAGCGGCACCGGATGCTTCCTCCCTTCACCTCTTTCCTCATCCCACTAAAGCCTGGTTTTCCAAGTTAGAACAAGCTTTAAGCACTCTACAGTCATGATTTTGTAGCCTACTAATCCTTTCAGTAAATAAATGCATTGGTTTTGATTTGAAAACAAGAAAATGTCCATGCGTGGGTCTCAGCACACAGTTACAAGTGAATCATGGTATGATTCCCAGGGCACTGGGACCCGTGAAGTAGGTAGAGTTCACTCCCAGCTACAAATCATACTAGGCGGATGGTTGCTTTTCTTTGCAGAGAACAACTACAAGTTAATCACAGATCCAAGAAATCCAGAGGGGCAGGGGAGTGGTGTTTCACTTCTGCTCATTCTTTATTAGGGATCGTAACCTTTTCTGGATGGGACGGTCACAGAGACTGTAAACTTGGATGGTAAACTATTTGATGCAGAGGTATTATTTATGTTTAGACACTTCCCCAGGGCCCACTCACACCAGAAACAATGACTAATACCCAGGAATGACTTCCAGCAAGACACCAAACACAGAAAGCCACAGTGACACCTTACCTGGGAGCAAAGCAGCACAGCTCCGTTTTGCGCAACTGCAGCTACTGTTCATGCTCCCTCACCCCCTCTTCTGCTCACATCACTCCTCTCAGTGCAGCCCTTCAAGATAGCAACCACCTTTTCCCTCATTTCAGCTGATGCCACGTGAGGTCTGCTCACGTACTCTTTGGACTTCCCAAAGACCGTCTGCAAACTCCACTGCCAAAAACACACTATTACAAGAGAAATACCACTTCCTCTGTAATAACAGGACCTCCAAGAAACCTCTTTTGGTATCTGGAAGGATGCAGTGAGGCCAGGAAATTTCAACCCTCTCCCGCTCACCTTCTACTCCCAGTGCTTCACCAACACCGGATTTAAGCAAACTGAAATTAATGGCAAAGATCTTTTATCCTGAGCTCCCAATCATCATCATAAAATAATGCCGCTGAAACAGCAAAACAACGGCTCTTTGCACAGGGACAAGGACAGGACATAATACTAATGAGCACATGAAATACCCGCTATGGAATTCTTTTTCTCATTCCTACACGGGCTGAGGAGGAGATAATCTTAGTACAACTCCCTTTCTGCACTTTACGGTTGCCATTGACGTACTGATCTACAAGGCAACCCGTCACCACACATGGAGAGAAGCTGCAAGAGACCTAGTTCATCTTCAGTAGTACAAAGTAACACACTGGTACAGACGGGCTAAGATTCCAAGAGCAGATTAGAAAGCTTTTGGCAAGGGAAGATCTTGTCCAAATGAAACAAAAAGTTACTAAGTGTTGCTTGATATCCAGTGCTTGAAAATGGGACATAAACAGAACAAAAACATTTAAATGATGCACTGTTTCAGTATTAAGATTTAACAATCTGGTGCTGAATATGCTGCAGTATAAATAGTGCCTGGACTCAGATCCAGTAGAGTAACACACAGCACTCATTCACAGCACCGTATGTCTCCAGAGCTGGCTCCTCGAGTCATATTCCACTTGCCAAGAAAAGCTGTTTTTCTTAAGGGGATAGTTTACTTAATGTTATCTCTGGTGACAACAAGAAACGCATATAGTACAGCATATATTAGTCATGAAACGAGCATCAAGGGTCCACTGAGTGAAATACATGCTGGGAAAACACAGTTTAGCTGCTGACTTCCTTCGCTCCTTTCTGCTATATAATAATTTAAAGCAAAATCACCTAAAAATCCAGACATCTATACCAGCTTCCCAGAACCCTTGGCTTCCCATGTTTAACCATGCCAAGTTTTCATATAATTAAAAAAATAAGCATCATATGTGCCCCATACGTCACATCTAAATTGGTAGTATTTTACAAGAGGCTTTATTTTGCATTCAATTAAAGAAGACACTCAGAGAGCACACCATCTGCAATGGCTTGGTCCTGGCAATGCTGGTGAGAGGCAAAGCGACAGCAGGGGTCACTGAAGTTAGCAAACCTTTCCCCAAACTAAAAAAGTTCAAAGAAAAACCACAGTGCAGCGCATCATGGGAAATGCTATGCAAATTGCTTTACAGGAAACGTCTGCTACTACTGGAAGTCAGGTAGGTTTTTTTTTTTTTTTAAATCCTCCTCTATAACTGGAGAGGAAATTGTTTTGGCTGGATTTAGACAAACACAGGTGTGACCATAATGCTCTGTGCCTCTGCACGTTAACACCTGCTGCGAGTCCTTTACTCTGTGTTACAGCAGTGCTGATGCACGCTATTTTTTCAGCCGGTGTGATATGACGTGTGAAATTTTTTTTCCAGAGCACACTGAGCTGGTCCAAACGATAGCCAGAAGCCATGGTTTCCATCCAGCTCCTCAGCAGACTTTGCAGATGGTTTATTTGATGGCACCGACACCGTATTTAAGGCAACTCTTGGGCTGCATTTGGGAAGATGGTGCCAGCTTGTTGAGCAAATTTATTCTCAGCGTACTAGTAGACTTGCCTCTGAATAACTCCTCAGTAAAATTTGAATGGACCCAAATATTCCCTCCCAAAAGGTGTTCTTCTCATCCAGTACTGGGTGTTTCTAATGCAATGGCAATGCGCAGATGAGAACACCCTGGTAGCAGGGAGTCCCTTCCACATGCACATGCTTTACAGCTCTACTCATTGACTCCAAACAGCATGGCTCGGGCCTTTAGTGAAATCGCTTTAACTGGCCTGACTGAGATTTTATTCTATCACAACAGGAGATACAGATTCTCATCACAGTGTAGACGAGAATACGCAAAGGCACTGCCTGTGTTATTAATGAAGGTATTACTGCTCCAAGAACACCACTCCTCTCTGAGCTCCAGAGCTTCTCACTTCTGTATGGGGACAATACCCAGCAGACGAGACTGCTCAGAAAATCTGCAAGTGCATCCTTTATGAATTCACAAAGCACTTCTGTCAACAAGTCTACTTCTCTTACGTGTATCAATGATCCTTTGGGACTTTTATTTTTTTTGGTAAAGAGTTGTTTGGAGGGAAAGTTCAACAGATTTCAGACCTTGCACAGACTGGAAGAAATGCCCATACGCTAAAATACTTCTCAACAACTTACCTGGGAATGGTTGAATGCAGCCAGCTAGCCAATCAAAGACAATAAACACCAAATAGTTTTCTCATAAGAAAGTCTTTCAAAACCTATTTTGAAAGAGATTCTCTGTCCATGCTGGCTGTTGGCCCTTGAATATCATGTCCTTCTATAGATAAGTCTTTTATTAAGTTTGAGCTTCAGTAATGTTTTCATCTCTCATTAAGGCAACGCTCATTACTGTTTGCTTTATCAAAGATAGCAAAGAAGATGAAAGACAGAGTAACCTAATTTTAAATTTGCATAACTCCCTTTACCCAGAAGAATGCCAGAAAATAGTAGTGCCAGACTTTTGTGAACTCGGTGTCAAATTCATACATAAAAACTGTTGCAATTCACTGTTGTTGTTCCACTTAAGCCAATGATTTGCAATCCTGCCATAAGTGCTTTCAACTTAGCCTCATTTAAAATATAGCTTCTTTGGAGAAGACAATGACAACTGAGCAAGTCCGAGCAGAAGAATATACTGAACAAAAAGCTGGACTAGTTACATCTTGGCTGACCTACATACCTAGCAGAACTTGTCATTGAATCTTTACTGACCTTCAGTTTTGAAGATACTACCTGAAAGAACGATGCATTACAAAGCACTGACATTACTCCTGGGACTTCCTGCTGCTGGGATGTGAACTTCTGAACGGACATAAGGCTGCGGCTAAGGCAGACTTCTAGAATAACTGTGTTAATCAGGAACATAAATAAATAAAAAGGCAAGAAGCTGCTTTCCCAAATAATACAGATAATCTGGAACACCCTTTCCAATATTACGTAGCTTATATTGATCCAGGAGATGATTTACTTATATGAGTTAAAGGCCTTGTTTGTCTTTGCAAACTGAAAGATAGCCATAGGGTAGAGCACAGTAGTTCTAAGAATGCCACATCTGGGATTTCAAATAATATACATCACAAGCTATGACATTTTGGCCATAAACTGCATGACGTCCAGGTCCTGCCTCCTCCAGTCACACGTACAGTTAATTTTTCATCTGGATAGTCCCATGGGAGTTACTGGAGCATCTCATGAAAGCCTGGATACATCAACACATCACCATTGTAAAATCAAACTCTTAAAATGGAGCATCTTCCAAATTCCAGTTTTGCAGCTAAACGGAACAAACAGGACCAGAACATGCTTCACATCCTTACTACCTTCCTTCACAAAGCACCCCTTGCCCCCCACCATGGTTAGACTCCTGATTTCATCTTTCAGAAATTATGAGTGTACCTGAATTATAGCTCTAGTGGATATCTATAGGTAGGTCACAAGGGATTAATGAAACTTACCTAAAATATTAATTGGCTAGGGCTAAAATTAAGTCAGAGGATCCAATCAAGGAGATTTTGGATGTTCACATTAGCATCCCCACCCTCACCTCAACATTCTTCTGGAGACAGCTACAAAACAAACCATCAGTAATGCTTGCCCAAATATATACAGAGGGGGAAAGAGAAAGAATTCTGTGTTACGTGGCTAAAGACAAAAAGGATTGCAAAGAATACTGTTTCTTTACTAGGCATTGTTAAGCAAAGAGTACTTGTCAGCGCTAAGCAGGCAACCCATCTGAACCCATGATGCAAAACACAAAAACCTCTCATTTTCTACAGCATAAGCAAATGTAACCTGCTAAG